GCAAGCATAACTATTCTGGCTAAGATTACGGATGGGATTTCTTAAAAATTGTTCTGCTTATAAAAGCTGAAAACAGAACTCCAGAAATAATCCGTAACCAGGCTCTGCTAAAAAGCATAGCTCAGTCTCAGACGCTTGCTATTACTAATGTTGTTTTCACCACGCTACCCTTATCTCACATGTGGATAGGTTCCAGTTTTGACCTCTGTGTTTCAGGAATGGCAACAGTAAACTAACGGGGTAACTCTAGTTAAATAGCGCCACATGCTGTAGAAAGTAAACATGACAAGTGCAAAATTAAGATAAAATTCTTAATGCCACAAAAAAACCAGAGTGTAAATAAGTGACATGACAGACAGTCTATACCCTAATTCTAAACCCTACTTCACACTTATTAATTACAATAATATTTCAATGTAATTTCTTTCTCACATATAAACCCACTGTAATTGTCCACTAAATACTTCTATTTTCAATCATAAGATATTTAACAACTAAAATCATTCCCCCCGAAAACTGAAGATGCAAAGGAACTAACAATAAAAAGAACCTTATTTCTGTATCCACACATTTTTCAAGAGCACACTATTAGAATAACTCTTAATTGTACCTCAAGAGAAAAGTCTTCAACCAAAACCATCTTTTTTATAAAATCATTATAAGCTGTACAGATATGAAAAACTGAACTGAACACTGCTAAAAGTGTCAGGACTCCAGATTACGAAGATGCCTTAGTGTCAAACTTGTTTCAAGTTAAACATACAATTCTAAGCTAACGTAAGAAATTTTAGTTATTAACTTAGCTAAGTTGAATTTCCTATGATATATTAACCGGTAAAACTTATCCAACAAGTTACAGTTTGATTTACTCTTGGCAATCTCTCACTAGCAATTAGAAACCGTCAGAGAGCCAAACACGCCCGCCCATGTCATCAACTGCTGATCCAGCCTCACCCCAGGGGGGAGTTTGGAATAGATGCGGGTTTTGAACCACTCTAGGGAAGGCTACGAACCCCTCCTGTTGCTTTTTTTACCTCCAAGGACAAATTTCTGATGTGTCTGGAAGCAGGAAAAGGTCCTGGCTAACAAGTCTTGCATTTTTGTCCTTGTTTATAGTGTTCCAAGTGCAAAAATACTGAACTATATTATCTGTGTTAACAAATACACTCTGCGACAACACAAGCAGCATTCAAGCCCAAGGAGCAGTCCTCAAGATCTGGTCCACCTGCCACAGCAAGGTAAGAACTTGCATGTAACTCATGAAGCACCTGCTCATTAAGTGACAACTCTGCTCTAACCCACAATAAAAAAGGCAGCTAAAATACATTCTTAGAACCCCCAACTTAGTTTTTGCACTTGCCATGGGAAATTGCACAACTTCGCCGAGATGTCACCAGATAGTCTCTCTAAACTGTAGGCTATCCAGTGAAAGTCCCACTTGTGGCTGGATAACTAAGAAGACATCTTCCTTAGCACAGATAAATGAGGAGCGAACTCATGTTTTGAGCTGGAAAAGGAGTCAGTCTCCTCTGTCAACTCTCCATGTTCAAAGACACTGTAATTCCTGTCACTCTTAGTACTCATACTCTTTTTCCTTTTAAAATGGCTGTAATGAGTTACTTGAAACATGCCAGGCTAAAACAAAATCCTGAAATAACAGGAAAATTCCTTATCGGTGGTTGATCGACATAACACACAACACAAATAGGAGGGCTCATTTCCCTCCTAAGCATGCTTTTCGCTGGCTAAGCTATAGCAAACAACCATGACCATTTATAACAGTCTTATTAGAAAGCATGAGATTAGACCAGCAGGACTTCTGGTTTATTCTGTACTTTATGGAAGAAAGAATTAAGTATACCTGGACATGAATCAAAAGCCCCCATAGTATCTTGGGTAGTATGCACCAGTACTCCATTACTGGCATAGTTAAAAAGCTTTCCCTAAGTCTTCCTTGCTACAAATTAAGCCAACTACAGCCTGTCTTTCCCTTGAAGGGCACTGAAAACACCTGATCACCAGCTTTTCTGAAACAACTCTTGACATCCTTGATTTTTGTCCCACCCTAATATTCTGTTTGCTAAACTAAACCAAAGCAGTATCTTCTGCATCTTAGTTGTATTGTTGTACTCTCCCACTCGTCTACTGTCTTCTCAAAAGTGCGGTGCCCAAAATTGGACACATTATTCCAGCTGAAGCCCAGTCGGAACCAAATATTCAGAACTGCATGAGAAATTCCAGCACCTGACGCAATATCCCTACTACTACATCCACAAATGTATCAGAGAATCCAGTCTAGTATTCCACAGAAATATAATATATATATATTCATTCAAAGGTCTATCTGATCCAAAAGAGAGTATCTTGATGTATTATTTTTGTATTGGAAATGTAATGGTACTAGAAGTATATTACAGTATCATGGAAGAGATCTCCAAGGTTTTGCTATTCTTCCTTACACAGCATGCCCCAGTGGACTGTTTAATAAGAATGCATTAATTCACCTAGCCAATTTTCTTCTTCTCTAATGAGTTTGCTTTTATTATATGCACATACTTAAGAATATGAGTTAATTAATGAACAAAATTTGTATATTTATATGGAAGACTTGTTCTACAATTTCATTAGGCTATTCAGCCTTCTCTAACCATGTCTGTTTTTCTGTATGGAAGCATATGATCAAACCGAGAAATAGTCTCAAAAATTATTTCAACATGGCTGAAGCATGCAGAATTGCCATTATCCATTCTGTAAATAAAACAATTCAAGCAATCCTGAATATTTATATAAATGTGTATTAACTTAGTCATTTGATATATGTCTGATTTTTCTGCTTCCAAGTGTGAGCCTTTTTATTGCATATCTGTAGATAGCTGCCAGCAAGACACAGTATCAGAGGATTTACAACTCTGAGGGTAGAATGCCATCTGCTGCTATATTTGCTGCTACAGCAGGATAAAACAGAAGAATTATACAAGTGCTGCCTTCTGCCTTTCTCTTAACTGTAAAATGTATACAAACATCTCATTTTGTTTTATTAAAAATTAAAAAAAAAACCACCAAAATTGGGAGCTCAGATGCCTTTACACACAGCTTTTGTTATACGAGCTGGTAAAATAATGTGATACGGACCACAGGATTCTATCAATGCAAATGAGAAGCTCTTGTATCAGGCCTACTAGAACAAAACAAAAAATAAAGTGTAATTTGACTGCAAACTAAATTACACTGGTAGATAATGTAATCAAACAATAAAAAAAAAGCACACTTTGAAAATGCATTTGCAATGAATTATGGAGTTGCTAGACTGGGGCTAGAATTTAGAAACACCCCTTGAACTGTTATGTACCATGAAAGCATTGCAAAATTCCCACTTTCCCTCCCGGTCGGGTTACACACAAGACGCATGTCATAAGCAAAGGCAATATACAGAATATGATATATATTACCAGTTTGATTCATGTCCACTTATCGGGGGCGGGGGAAAAACCAAAACAACACAAAACCATTTTCTTAAATTCATCCTACAGTTTTCCCCCATGTCCTTTTGGTAATAGTTAATTCTTTCTGTTCAAAGTGCTCTTCAATAAATCAAATCGAAACATCAGCCAGCATTTTACTCAATAATTAACCATTTAACCTTCCACACACAATGCAATCGCAGAGGTAGTCTTACAGTTATTCAAAACACATTGCTGAGCCGGATAAATTCATATATATTAAATGCCAGTGTAGTTGGCAAACGTTCAAGTTTTAATTTTTTTTCTACTGACAACAGAGCTCCAGGTGATTAAGCATAAATAATGCACTTCAGTTTTTTGCCTGCTGCTTCACCCACATACAAATGCTTCTTCGAGCTTTCTATAAGGATGGACACAAAAAGCTTGGGTATATAATCTCCTGTAATAATCTGTTATAGATTACTACACATTGATAGGACTTCTCCACACAGTTACACCTCAATCAGTCAGAGTATAAGGTGAAATCAAAACCCTCAAAATCGGATAGAAAGAAAATAATAATCTGGGAATTACAACTACTGTACAGGCATGTTGCCTTTGAACTGCCATCAACAGGAGTTTTGCTAAGGAAAATACCATGAGCATGAGTACATTTTTACTGTGTACCTTCTGTTACTTAGCATTAGAGCAGTGCACCATATTTAAAAATAACAAATCAGCTTCGGCAATTGAAAGGAACACATTGCTTTCATGAAAAAGTAATTCAGTATAGTGTAAAACTTTGTTTTTAATATTAAGTGAGGAACCATTCAATAAAGTTGAAATACAGTTCAAACCTGAAGGGATAAAAGAATTCTTGAGATTGGGACCATTCACCAGGAAGCAAGGATAGAGTACTACACAAGTAAAACCAAATCTCAGTCACTGTCACAATTCTTGCTAAAGATTTGCTTGGGGCTCCAACAGAATTCTTTCAGTCTTTCTCAAGATCAATTGATCTCATCTTACTGACATTCTCTTTACAACATCTATATTATGACTGTCCCCTACAGTTAAGGTGAATTAACTGCTGCTTCTTCAAAAATGCATCTTACTTTTCCCTTCTCCCTATTTAAAATGCAGAAAAGCCAAGTAATGTGAGAAATACAGTGGAAACCACATAAATGAGTAACTGTCAAAAGAACAGAACTATTAAAAGAATAAATCTTGTGTACCCAGCTGTGAAATATAACACAATATAGCAGAACCCAGCTAAATGTTTGAAATAAAAAATTGAAATGCAAAGTAACCTAAAATTGTTTAATGAACATAGCTGTTAAAATATTAACTCCTTGCATGCCGAAACTCAAAAGCATACATGGTAGGAAGCTCGCTCAGATGAACAACACATTAATAAGTTATCTATCTATCCCTCTATCTCTCCATCTAGCCAATCAGCCACCAGCTAAGCTCAAGAGCTTTTATCTAAGATACATTAGCAGGTCAATTTCTGCACAGGCTTTTTTATTTCAAATGTTGTGGTTTACAGCAAATATTTACCTTTGAGGTGTGCTGAAGCTGGTCTCCCACATATGTTTTACGGAACTGATCCAAGAACCACAGAATTGCCAGTTCTACTTTTTCATTACTAGACTGTGGTAACTGGGCATCCATCAAAGAGATCAGCTGAAAAACTCTTGATGACAGAAAAAAATATTTTCAGGAAGAATTCTCAAATTAAATGATATTGTCACAGCTAACTTCTTTAGGAACCATCCAGTCTTGTTTTGTTTGCCTAAGTTTCTTCTAGGATTTTGTTTTGTTTTGATGCTAATTGACCACTAATAAACATAAACATCAACATAGTGCTTTTCTAATTACTTTGTCACTTGAAATTTTCTGATACATATATTATACTGTGATGAGTTTGTAAAGTGTTTTTTTCTTTCTTAGAGCATCAATTCCATGATGAAAGAAACATAGAAATTTGAGAAGCATGAGTCTCAAACTGCAAGTGCAAGATAAGAGCTCTTCAAGTTCCCTGGAAATTGAAACAATTGTACTTAGAAATAAGTTTATGCAGTACATAATGCACTGTCTGCCTCGCTTCTTCTCACTTCTGTCTCTCCTAAAACATCTGAACACACATGTATTTTCTGACCTAATCCTTGCTTGGTATATATCTCCATATTACCAGGACTGATTTCAAAGAATCAATTTTAGGCTATTCAGAAAATATAATACTTCTTTTTTTTAAAAGGAATATTCCTTTATTTAATTTCCTGTGTTCTTCTGCTATCTATTCCTTGAAATCCTAATTCCCTAGCAATTAAAAAAGTTATTCTCACCTTTTGCCAATTCTGAAATATAGTCACTGGATTAGAAGTCAGTAGCTACTTCATCTGTAAGCCTGTATATTAAAACCTCTCACTTTTAATAAAAACATAGTGGAAGATTGCTAACACCACAGAGCCCCAGGGCAGATTAGGAAGGCAAGAAACAAAGGAGAAAATGTAAAGCTTTTTATCCAATTCTAAGTTGTATGCCCTATTTCATGCGTTAGCTAGTGGATGTAAATAACAGGATCAAATATGCACGCCTTTTTTAATATACTTGTGGATGAAAACAAGGATTAAGGAAGTGTTTGCCACAAGGAATACATGTCATTCACAATAATCCCTAGCTCACCCCTTGCCTTAAAACTTGCAGAAAGAAGACTCTAGCATGCACATTTTTAAATCTAGAGCCTTCTTTTTTATTCCAAGTTCTAAAAACAAGTCTAAATTTTCAATGGTTGACCAGCAGTTTCTCTGCACTTCTTCCCCCGCAACAATCAATGTAAAGGAAGTAGTGCAGAAAATAATAGCCATAACTCACAACTAATAAAATTAACACTGTATACAAGTATAACACACAAATGAAAAGAGGTAGCTGCATGGGCATATCTAAACACTGCTTGTATTAAGAGACATATTTGCCTTTAATCCTCTTCCCTTCCTCCGAAACATAGTTTTGAAATGATAGCCTTAATGACTCCTTCACTGCTCAGGATGATGAATCAGGAAAGATTAAAGCCAGTGGAATGGTCTCAATACACAGAAAGTCAGTACAGTCCTTGAGCACCCACCATCCAAGAACCAGACAAAAATTGAGACATTAAATTCAAAATACCTGCTGATACTAAACGTCATTTAAAAAAAATCAAAATAAAGAATTCAAAACAAGCAATACTTACCTACAGGATAATTCTCCATCCATGGCATCATGTTCATCAGTACTAGTGTATGTTAATCGACCTCCCACAAAAGTACCCACAAAATAGACAAGCCATGCCAGACGTCCTAACATTAAAAAGAAAGAAGAACAGTTAATGATTATAAACCATTATGCTAGTACAATACACTTCCATAAGGTATCAGCAGTTCTATAAGGTATTAGACTGCGGAACGCTGTCACGGGAATGGTTCGGTTTCTCCCTTTACCAGATTTAAGCCTACCTAGACAAATCAACTAACAAAAAATTCTGAGCAGGACCGACAGATAAACTAGAACAGCCTATTAACCTGGACACGCTTATAAATAAAACACGAAAGAATTAACCTAAAATACAAATTAAGCAAACTCAGCCTGGTAAGATTAGATATAAAATTAATCTAGTATCCTCACTTGCCTGCCACAAGTTACTTCAAGGCATGGAACAATTTTCTCTACAGTGGGGCTGTTACATCTACTTATCATAGCATTAGGAAGTAATTGAGACTCACTACAATCTATTTGTTTCTTAGTTCTATTTCAAATACAGATTTCTTTGTAATATTAAACTACTATCTAAAGTGATTTGCACATAAGAAAATATTTGTGTCGTAAGTCAGACATATTCTTCAAGAAAAGAGTTTGTGAACTACCATATAGTTTTGAAAGTCTCTGTGGACTGTTTTCTAAAAGGGTTTGAAAGACAGAGCTCATCCATTTCAAGCCATGCTGTCATGCCTTCCGATCTTCCAGATTATTTAGCTGTCAGTTTCCACTAAAGCACTTATACGATCCCCTGGCAAAGTCCTTGTCAAGTAAAGTACAATGTAAGGATCATAAAGCTAAGGTTCCATAAATAACTCCCTGAGTTTGTGTATGTAGTGTATTTTGTACAGATTTTCAAATACTGAAATCCCGCTTTATAAATATGGAAATCTTAAGTTTACAACACTGAACTCAGGGGAATTCTTTTGGCCTCTTTCTGCTGGAAAATCATTGCCATGTTGCAAAACCTGGATTATTTTAATCTCTCTGGCACATTAAAGTGGAATATCTTTAAATTTGACCTACTGATACCTACTCAAGCTACATAGATTCCTACTTCAGCTTTTTAAGCTGTGAATCCAGTAACTAATAGTATCCTCTCTCAGGAAAGATGCAGTATTTTTCCCTAAAGAAAGATCAAAACTAAGACCTGAATAGCAAAGTAACATACAGACCCGTTAAAACTTCAGGATACCACTAAAGGTTTCTTCCTCAACTGAAATGCGCTGAGACTATAGAACAGTAAAGCTATTTTTAGACTCCATCTTCATTTGGCAAAATATACTTTGTAATAAATTAAAATGAATTGCTTGAAAATAACATCACAGCAAAGACAACTTGGAAGAGTTTCCATGTAAATTAAATCAAGTTACAAAGAAAGCTTCTCAATAAGTGAGATATTTACATAAACTAGAAGATGTCTTGCCCTCATTACTAGGATTTTACCAAGTGACAACAGTAACTTACAACAGTGAGGACAATACCCTGATGAATAAAGTGTCTTCCAAACACATTTTGAAATTTAACATAAAGGATAAACGACAGATAAACAAATGAGGTCACGTTATGACTGTTATTTTGGATATTTCTACATACATATCAGGACATGCACAGTATCTACCAAAAGTCTTGAGATTTTATTTCATGTTTGTTTCAAATCTCTGATAAACTAGTCTTCATTTACATAACATTAAACTTCACTTAATTTCCTTCATGTTTTGCATTGTTGTATTTTGAAAAATCCAGAACTGAGATAGCACTGAATGCTCTACTTCCTAAGCTCCTTCAACCAGGAACGATTAATAGTTCTGAGGTGTTCCAGTATCCTTATGGCCTGAATCGGGTGACTATACATCATAAGCAATTCTGTTTCAGTCAGAGGTATATAGTACAGTGTGTTCTATACATAAAAAAGATGCTGAGATCAAATATACGTGAAAAGATAACGCAAAGTATGGACTAACATGCAGATGATTCCAACAAAAATACAGGAAAGCATTCAGGTTTAGCTTAAATCTCAGTCTTATTTTAAAAAAAATACCACACGAATATGTAATAGATCTGTAACAGAAAACACTTCATGACAGGGAACAAGTGTTGACTTTTGAGACAAGACAAGATATATGAGGAAGACTTCCAAATATCTTCTCATATTGTTCCTGTTCCATTCCTAATAATCTGGAAGAGTATCAGCTATCCCACAACCAACATATTTCCCTGTTTCAAGACCTGTGCTTCTTCACAAACAGGACACTTCCAAGGAAAACCCCGTCAGACACACTACGCATTGCAGTACAAACAGCTACTAAGAGACTGTACACTAAGAGATTGTAGCATCATTAGCAAAATACCAAGGACCTGAAGTGTCTAGGAGAACAGACATTGCTCAAATGAATTTACATTAACAGCTACTAAAGAATGGCCATTTGAAGATGGTATGAAAAAGCAACTGTGAAGTGGTACTAGCTGGTTCAAAGAGCAGTCACCACTTTGGCCAACAATCTTTTCTAAAATAAAAACCTGTCTTCCTTTTTACAAATTGTAGTAGCTCATTTTTAAGTACACAGTTATTTTTCTGATGATAGCCCTCTTCTCTTAGCACAATACTAATTAACAGGTATGACTTTTTTCCCTCTTTTATACCTTCACTATTTAAAAATTTCAGTGCATTTGCTTTTGCAATTACTGAGGCAGACAACATCTTTTCTTTTAGAAAATAATTATTGCTGTAATAATCTGTAATTATGGTTTATAACAGCAATAATCCCAAAGAAATCAGTCATTACCATAGATCACAAGTAATCATTAACTACTGTTAATGACCCATTTCTTGGGGATTATTGTTTTAGTAAACCATGACCGCATCACTATTGATAGAGAGAGCAAGACAGTATAATAAAATGAGATCTTAATATTACATTAACTATTTTGTAACATTAAAAGCCATTAAACATCTAAATTTAACTGTGTATATCTAGGGGATATAACAGTTATTGTTCAATATGAGAACAAATGTTTAGTTTGCAGAAAAGAAACACAATATTTAAACTGCATCAAATGTTTTCTAACGCATAACAGCAATCCCCAGAGCACTGACACTGAAAGACTCCAGCTGATTGTTTCCCTTTGGCCCCCCATGACTGGGAATGGAGTATAAATTCAGACTGCAGCTGGTCAATGAAATCAAGTCATTAATGAAAGTTCTCCCACATAAAAGTTGATAGGTGCATGGAAGAAAGTGGAATTAATAAAAAAAGATAAGTAGGAGGTCTTAGATAAATTAGTGAAAAAATGGCTCCTACATAGAAGAAAATCAGCATATTCAAACTGACAACAAAAGAACGGCAAAATATATCACAAACATTTAATAGCATGCAAAGAAAGAGCTGTATTATGCAGTAACCTGTCTCACCTTTTCAAAACAACACCATTTATCCATGTAAAGATGCAACAGCCATAAGATAACTATATTAGGAAAGAGCCAGTAGTTATAAAAACAATTTCAGTGAGACACAGAGAGGACTGAAATAGGTATATGGGGAAAAAAAAAAAGCACTTACTATTTTTACAACTTACACTACAATAAATAACTTGAGTTTCTTGAAAATTAGGTAATTCATCTTAACAGAGCTGTATAAAATAAATTAAGGTTTTTAATGTTACATTATTTTTTACAGACAGATAAATGCAAAAAGAATGAAAGTTAACATCTTCATTTTCAAAAAATGTTCATCAAGTTACAGCTGGTTCCCATGAGGGCACCTGAGGCACTAAAATGTTGATTTTCAGAAATTAAAAGTTTTTACAGCTCTCACGCCTATATTCTAAAGACGTAACAAGATGTTAAAACAAACACATCAGCTGCCAATGTATCCTATTTAATACAAAGACAACTAGTGAAAATGTGGTGCAAGGTGACTTGGATCATTAATTCCTAGTTTGAGAAAAGGTCTAGGTGTATCTGCCATAAGATCATCACTCTTTTTCATATGCAAATATATGGTTAGTAGCACATAAAACACAGTCTAAAAATTAAATTAAATACTAACCTTCCTGAACTGTGATTTCTAATGGATTCCTACTAGAAGAGTGCAATAGCTTTTGGTAGTTTTGTGCATTTTGGTCAAACAACTGTACAAGAAGCGTACAGGTCTTTTCGTATTCACACCTGCTAACTGTGCACAGTTGCTCCAGCTGTTGGAAAACTGTAGCTGCATCATCCAGTGGATCGTCTAAGCCATCTCTGGAATAGAGATAAAAAGTAACCACTTAGCCACTATTGCTTAAAAGCTGATGCTGTTTTCCCATCCAGATCTTGAACGACTGTCACTGAACTGCTGAACTATAAAAGCCTTAGCAGCTGGTGAATACCACAGACAGACAGAAGATCTCATTTTGTTTACATACATACCCATACACATCCACACAAACACAGAACAGTATTCTATTTGTGTCTTCCTATTAACACATACTTTAAAAAGCAAAGAAGAGAAGTGAAGTTGGCAGTATGAACACAGAAAGGTAAATCCTGAAGACCTAAGGTCCACTGTGCCTGAACAGAATATTACCAAGCAGCATCTTTCTCAGAGGATGATGGGAGGAAAGAATGGAATACTTAGTAGAAATGGATTTTACATATTCATCAAATTGAGCACAAGACCATGATACCAAAGCCAACAAGCAAGCTTCAGTAAAATTCCATGCAACTGCTTCATAAATCTTTATTTTATTCTGCTGTAAACAAGCCGTGACCCCATGGAATGCCTATAACAAAGAGACCAATAGCTCTTGCCATAAAGTATAACTATACTCATTACACAAATCACAACAGGAAAGGTTTATTCATCAGAAGGCTACCCTTTTGTTGCACAGGCAACAATCAATCTACAGATAAAGATAACATCCAAAAACCTGACAAAGCTAACAGTGCTAACATCCAAACTTTGAAAGATACACAGTGGCTGAAAATCCTAATGTTCAAGATGGGCTGAAACAGACCTCTTCTCAGGTATTTACAAAAGTTTGAAATAAAAGTTTGTAGAAAAGCATCCTCTTGCAGACTCTTTGTAGACAAATCATTCGTTCCTCGCTCACCCTTACTCAAAAGGGAGAATAGCTATTCAAACCCCCGAAAAGGGCAAAAGCTACTTTACTTCCATTGTTCAAGCTACTTATTTCTCTGACTGAAGGACCAGCTGGATGGCTCCTGAATGTAGGGTGATGTTATAGACTATACTGGTTTGTAAGAAAAATGGTCATTCCAGAAAACAGGATTAGTTTGCAAAGATATCAATTAATCTCCTTGGAGCAAACGGAAGAAGTCTTAAGAAATCAGCTCCCAGACATCCCATGTTTCTCAAGAATGGTCTGGACGTTTGATATTAAAGTCTATATTGGATATTGCTGTCTACAAAAATGCCACAACTGAGGATCTTCACCACATAAAAGCATAAGACAATACCACAGTGGTATACAAATCACTTAGAGCTAGAACGGATACATGCCAACAGTGTTACCAAGACTGTCTTAAGAATGATACACACTGGTAGAAGAGGAGATCAGTACTTTCCTCATCTTCTCCCTGTTGGCTTTTTTCACAGATTGGAAAGTTTACTCCTCCACAACGTAACAAGGACATCCAGAAGAATCTCTCATCAGTGCCAAACAAAGAAACTGAATTTTCAGTGCTGATGGTGATGCTGATGAAGACAACAGCGCATTTCAACGGAGCTCATAATGGCAGATGGTTTGACCCAGAAGCTCAGCCCTTCTGAGCACTTTAAGTCGGGAAGCTGATATGGAATGTACCACCCAGTAGAGAAGAAAGCTGAGACATGATGGTTCAATCCTGACATTCCGTTACAGAAAAGCTGAACAAACAAGATAACTTAAAAATGCCAAAAGCAGTGTAGGCTGGTTGAGAGAAGGCCCAGGAAAACTGACTGCACTGGCAATCAGCTGCTTGTCCTTCCCTGTCCTAGCACTGGAACACTGGAAGCTCCCCTAGGTACTACTAATTCTTGTTCTTGAGACAATGATAGAGAAGCTCACGACTTTGAACCATTAGGAAGCCAGCCTTTAACATACCTATGGTGACAACATACGGCAAATAACACCAACTATAGCTTAGTCACTAAATAGTAAGATGACAGATTACATAATTTGCAGACATGAGATTTTGGCTAAGCTGAGACAAAAGGACAACAAAGGTGAAGTTGAATGCACTTCCTTGCAGAAACTGAACAAATGACATCATCTCAGTAACGTAAAACTGAAAAGGAAAAGCAGATGTGGCTTGTTCTGCAGTCCCGTAGTCTGACAGGAGATCCTACCCGCAGG